AAAAAGTACAGAAAAGGGTAGAACTTTATAGAAGTCAGTCTCAAACTGATAATTTTACTGTTTACAATGACTGAATGGGGTAATGGGAGCTTAAAACAAAATTGTTATATTTAACGTAATAAATCTTAAACAGCGCCCTCGGGTGTCAAATAATATCAAGTCCCCCCCACACCATATTCGGCATGTCGGGCAGATGCCCCTATCCTTTAAGTTCACTCTGGCTAGAACACAGTTTGTTATTACCCCTGTTCACTGGGCTATACGCAGTCCTGTAAATCATCTCAGCTCCCGGGGGGTGAACAGCTTGACAAAGAAATTTCTGGTGCAAGCGACCAATCAAAGAGAATAACCACTCTGCCCTCATGGGTACAGATTTATACCCCTGGGTGGAGAGAATCAACAGGGAGTGAGGCGACTTCCAGAGGTCAGGACAGGCAACCAGCAGCTGGATTTGAACCCCCGACCCAATGTTTGTGAGTCCCAAATTACCACTGGGACGCCTACCTTCCTTTGCTGGTCGGGCATTTCTCCTCTTTGTTCTTCAGTTGCAGCGCGGCTCGGATGGATTCCGCAAAGCCCTGCCCGTCGTTCGTCATGTAGTTGTGGTTAGGGCAGGCCTGCATCTCAATGGTGGCGACCAGGGGCGAATCACGGTCAGCCTGGGTGGGGGGGGGAAAAATTAGAAGGGAAAATGTTGTTACAGCGGCTGCGCGTTTTGGAAGAGGAAGACTGTGCGGTTGATGCTACAAGTTAAATATGAAGTGGGCTTTGGGAATTACGCTATGGCCCCGATGGGTCCAAACCTTCCCAAATCCTAAAAATTCCATCACGTGGTTCTAAAAAATTTGGCAAGATTGAGGGAAGGAAAAGCTGATATACCATTTCTTTCCGTGGGGTATGGTATCAATCAAAATTTTAAGAACGAAGAATTTGCCACTGCTTTCTAGCAAATTGGAAAGTTTGGGAGAACTTCTTAGAAGTTCTCTTCTTAGAGACGTTCTCAGCAAAGTGCAAAGGAGTCAGGATTGATGTAGATTCCGGTGGACAGACTCACTTTAATATACTCCAATGACTCCTTGGTAGAATTTTGACTTTGGGGTTACACATTTCATAACATACTTTCCTTCGCACAAGCATTAGTGCATGAGACACGAACCAACGATCGTCCACATAGTAGTGTAGATTTCTTAACCACCGAACCACGAAGCGAATTGCAGTGGGCTGAATGATTCCAAACCAATATAGCAGTGGTTACGAGAACTACTGACATTTCTTGTGGAATTTTTGTTTAACAGAGATGAAGACGAGGCCCACCAAGTGAACAGTCAACACCAACAATTACGTTCTTTAATCTGTAATTAGAAATGACACTCGGAGGGAAATCTTCACCTCATGGTGTGTGCTGTTGGCTGCGGTATCGTTGGACGGGCTCCTGACCCTGGAGAGGGTCAGGGGAAGCAAGTGGGCCTCTGTGGTGAAGAGGTAGTCATCGATGGGTATGAGGAGGTCCTCAGGCTCGGCAAAGAGCAGATAGAGGTACTTGAAGGTCTCGGCAAGGAAGAACGAATCCATTCTGGGGAAAGCCAAGACAGGAAAGTCCTTGTGATTATGATTGAAATCCTGGTGGAAACAGGTAGAGGTGTGTCTCACAATTTCAGCGATAAGCAGCTCTGTGACATTGGTCCCTGGATTTTGCTGCGCAAAGAACATATTTGCTTAGCAAGAGTGGGTTAGCAGCCAAAATGTCACACAATGCTAATTCCTCCTGACTGATTCACGGCTGATTTCTGCCTAGCACATAAATTTGCTTAACGGCATTTTCTGCTTAAAAACTTGCGTGGGTCCCTGTGCACACTGTAGACTCTCTACCTGTCTTCATGCGTGCCGGTGCGGACATCTTTAATGCCGGCGAAGCCGCAGCCAACCCTGGCGTGCAGCTGAAGGCTCTCCACGATCGCTTTGCCCACCTCTAGGTAGTACGGGTCTCCCGTGGCCTGGAATCAACAAAAAGATGTCAAGATATGAGCACTAAAAACACCGTCTATATGTCGTGTTCGTGAACCAGAGAGGGCGTTCTGTTACGTTTCAACTGCATCCGTTATGGTTTATACAGCCATATTTGTAACAACTCAGTCTGGAATACTGTATTTTCATTGGCCTAGAACAATCACATGATCAGACGTTAAAAATGCATATTTCCTCTTAACATCAGGTATCACACCACAGTGATTTCACATTGCGGTATCACAGACTGGTCCCTGCCGCACAGTCTTAACCGTACTACAGGCACTGCTAACCAGACTATTCACTGGTACTCCTGCTTCTTTCACCTTCATCTACATGCACGGATCGAAGGCACCCCTACAACTGTGTAGGACTGGCTCGGAACAAAAGACGATCACACGTACTTTGTAAAGGAAGTAATTACTCTCGGCAAACTCGGGACGGAGTGGGTGCTGGGCCCAGTACACATCAAAGTCTGTGGTGAAAGCCTGCAGGAGGAGAGATGGAGAAAATGTAGCCCATGAGATGCGGCTCACTCCAGAAAAAGATGCAAGGCTTGACAGTTTTGTGACACAGAAAGATTCAGGGGCAACTTTTGGACGTGCACTTCATAAAAATGACAGCGATTTTCATATCTAAATCCATGTCAAGCTGCCAACACACCATTCGAGAACACATCCTTGATACTACTTTTGCATCAGTCTTTCAGATTGTACGGAAGGCTCTAAAAGATTAACCAAAATGGTCAAATTTAGGTCTTTTTTTTTTGTAAAAGATGGTATCAACCTTTTTGAAGCATGGCGAATGCAATAGGAGAGTGCCATTTGAAGAGGGTAAAGTTGGAGTAAACACACAAGATTTTACCCAAACCAAACAGCGCCCTCTGACTGTGTCCACCGTGCCTCAAAAAGGCTAATGGAAAAAGTAGATTAAGTCTTTTTCATGCAATTTGATGGAAGTCAAAAACAGAGAGCTAGCAAAGTGATGTTATCATTTATCAGATTGAGGTAAATTGATTTGGTATAGAGCTCTATCATGGGGCAGCCATCTTGCTTTTCTATTATTCAAAGCAATGGCCCTTTTCCAATACTCGACTTGGGCTCCATCTCAGGCTTCGTTCCCAAAACCAATCCCCGATTGTGGGCCTGAAGCGTTTAAATTACATCGGATTACTGTCATTTTTGGCTTTCTTGCATCTTATTTGATGTTCTGTGGCACTATTAGACTGATTACTGTGCTTACAGCTTCAAAGTCAGCTAGTTAAAAAACAGTTGAAGCCTGAGAAGGAGACGAAGTTGAGTATTGGAAAATGGCCAATGTAACTAAAAAGAGGCTGGAAGGAGAAAGAGTATGTTCCCCTTTGTCAATATGTGAAGTTGTGCTACCATTACCAATGGGTCTACAGGAAATAAGACAACCATGGCAGCATCACGAGAAAGGTCTATAGACAAGAGAGAGTAAAAGAGTGTATCTCCAGAATAACACACCTCTGGAAGAAAGTTGTGTCGCTGCGTGACCTGGTACAACATCTCATGAGTCTCGATGGCCGGCTTGATGTCGCCAAATAAAACCTGAAACAAAACAAGTTTCAGTGTCATGACTTGAGGGTGACAAATGTACATGCATTAAAGGGACAGTGGAAGAGAGCTTTTAAGGCATGGAGAAATGAGTGTGCCATCTTGGATTCCAGGGTGATATTATCGTACTGTTGAAAATTTGTCCTAAAAAAAGCGGTCCACTTTTAGAGAAATCTGCAAAGTCTGTTTGGGCATCATTTTGGGGTACACTGTCATGCCACTGATCTTCACCAGCATAAAAACTTCACAGGGAAATTGTATGTCACTGGTTCTTATGCATGGTTTATCTTGAAACATCTGGCAGCGTGTAAGAACAGGGAACAGACTCATACCCACTCGACCCCCCTTCGCATGCCTGGCTTTTCTGGTATAAACTTGGGGAATCGATGCGCATACCGGGGAAAAGGCTAAAGGCCCGCACGTTCCCGACCACATGAACTATCACACAGGACGTGTACTACAATGCCAGTGAAGTTTCTCAGTTCTCCGCCCTTACCTGAAGTCCGGGCCAGAATGCCAGCAGAGCATCCATGAAAGCTCTGGTCCGCGTTGTTGGCTTGTGCATGTGGACATCCAGCAACATGGGACCGTCGCTGATGTAGTGCATAACGGCGTCGTAGTGCTGAGAAGTGTCACAATCAGAGTTGTGTGAGAACAAGGTAGAGGCATGATGACGACATGTCAAATGTTGTCTATAGAAATGGCTCGCGTAATGCTGCAGACAATGTTCTATATGTACAACAATTGGATAGTCAATAAAAACATTTTGCGAACCCCAGTGAAGAAGTTCTTCAGCATTTTTGGTGTCAAGCACACTGGCATGTGCAGGAAGATTTTTGTGCAGCGACGCACAGAAACAAAAATTTTGTCTCTGAGCTTGATGTGGTTTTCACAACAAAATGGATGACAGCAACCTGCCTAGCAAATAGCTCACGTTACAGGAGGCCTCAGAGACAGATTATTATCGTAGCAATATCAAACCTCCGCCAATAGTGGGGGAAACTCAGTCAATTTAGAAATATTCTTATGTACAAGTGCATTCATGGAATGGCCCCCCGGCGTATTTGGCATCTGCAATGCAATCTCAAATTAGTAATCATGCATATATGTACAAGAATAGGAATAACATTTCTTAGCCAGTTGTAAGAACAGAAATTGGTAAACGTTCACTGAAATTCTCTGGAGCCAGCTCACGGAATGACCTTCCACCTGCCACGAAAACCTCGCCTACGCTCGTCAGTTTTAACAAGCAAATCAAGGCACCTATCGCAAATTCAGATAATTAACAGACAATTTGAATTATTTGCAAAACTATGTCGTCAAACGAATTAATCATATCATGTTATCTTATTATAAATAATAATAAAGTGATATCTGAACACTATGTGTTCTACAAGTCTGCCAATCAGCTCATTTTTTTGTATATTTGTTCATAGACTTTTGTATTTTAAGTTTGATTTATTTACAAGTTTTCCTCTTTCCCGTATTAATGTTCTATGTAACTTCATTGTCAGTAAAATGTTTTTAATGTGCTTTTTAGGTATGATGGTTTTATAACAGTTTTTTGTTTTTACTGATTGTATTTTCATTTTGGGCCTGTATGGAAAGCAGAGCTTGTGCACTGATGAAGTTTACCCTCATCAAAACAGACTTATATAAATAACGAGAATACAGGGCCCACTCACTGCGGCAAACTTGTCCAAGTAACTGTCGTCACCCAGAAGAATGTAGCCCTTCAAGAGATACTCGTAGTAGGAGTCGATGCCAGCACCAACTCCGCTGTCTGTGGACAATGATTTGGCCATACAAATTTCGTATTAAACACAATGTACGCTGGTGCTTCAGTGCAGAAAATTATAGCAACTCAACTGTCAAGACTTACAGGCTCGAAAGGTTTTGCTCAATAATGCTGATGAAGTTGAGGATGGAATTTGAAAATGTTCTCACTTTGACAAGGTCACTATGTGGCAACCTCGATCGTCTATACACAATCTTCTGTTTCAGAATAAAATAAATAGGCATATTTCATGCAAGACTGACCTCTTCTGACCCAGTCACCATTATGAATATTGATCACGGTGCCCACTAGGTTGCTATGGCGTTGGCGTTTGGACCATAACGTTCTCATCACATGCTGCGCCTTTTCCTGTGGAGGAATTTCACAAAGCAAAACGTTAAAATTATCCTTGAACACTCTGAAGTTGAGACTTTCAGGCATAATATTTGACCAGCAAGGCAACTAAGCAAAAGTTCTCTACAGATCCCTAAAGCATAATCAACGGCAGTGCAGAATGCTGAAAAAAAAAATGAAATTAATTGCAAAATAAGATAAACGGAGAACAAAAATCAGAAACCCTATAGGTTTGGAAAAAAATCCTGAGTAGCATGTCGGAGTATCAGGCTTACGTCTTTCAAGATATTTAGCAAATGTATATATGCCAAAATCTCAATTATTTGACAGAGCTGATTCATTTAGTACGACTGATTGTCACAATGTAGAAAAAAACCTTTATCTCTTTGTAAGTTTGGTCTTTCCTGTGGTCTCACCTCAAAGATCGGGTCGCCAGTCAGCCTGCTGAGGGCAGCAAACTCCAAGATCATGGTACCAGCACAGGCCGTGCAAGTGTCCTTCTCCTTGCGGCCTTTGCCAAGGCCGTACTTCAGATTCACCTGTAAAGGACAAGACATGTTGACATTTTCAGCGTCCTCTGATCTCATGGACATCCATCCGGTAACCCAGGACATTGGCAGAGGTAGGATTAACAGCGTCCCTTGCGACTGAGGTGGCGGGTCAGAAGAACACACTGGCTTGGATGAAAGCCGCTGGTATGCACTAGAAAGGTGAAGACTGGTAACCCTCACCCGGGCACTGAGAACACAACCTCAGTCCTTCAAAATTCAACTGCCTTCATGTAAGACTTCGACACAATCTCACTCCTCCAAATCTTTCATTATTTCTTGCCTGTACTCCTTAGACGGGTGACCCCTGCCTCAATCCTCCAAACTCCCTAGACGGGTGACCCCTGCCTCAATCCTTCAAAATCCCTTGGCCATTCCAGTCAGTATGTTGAGGCTGTGTGAGTGGTAACTAGGAGCTTGAATGCTTTCAAACTGTGCCCAACAGTTACCCACGGCCGAGTATAAACACCACGAGGTTTGTCCGCAGACTTTGACGCAAGGCGTCCTTCAAAATTAGCCACGTTTTTGCCACACAACTTCGTTCCTTCAAACTCCCCCACTCGTGCAGGAGGACTTTGGAGGCCTTGGAAATAATGCTGGTTGATAGTTTACAACACTTGCTCACTATCTCGATGTTAATGCAGTCCTAATTTTGTTATCATTATTCATTACTATCAACAAACCCAAGGATTTGTGAAAAGTGTCCATGACACTGTATCTCGCATACTGGGAGAAACCAGCCAATTTGTACTGTCCAGGACGTGAACCATAAATTGACTGGCAGTTTTTGTTAACGGACAGGTATGGGCCTTCATTGCTTTGGATGGCCCTTTTTACGGTCAATTCATTCAAGAAGGTAAAACAAACAAAGGACATGTTTCACCCATATTCCTTGTACAATAAGGAAAGCGAATAATTTCAGTTTCCTCAAAAAGAACACAGTCTCCTCTACTGAAGTCAAAAGAAAACAAAATTAGAATGAAAACGCTGGCGACCCCCCCAAAAAAAACCAAAGCCCCACCCACACGTTTCAATTCTAAATATCAAACAATCAAATTATCCCAATTTGCAGTGCATGTATGTCATTATGTCCTGCCAATATGCCACAGTTTCAAATGTCAGAAATGAAACCGATCTGCCAATGCTCCACATGTGCATAAACATGCCTTTTCTGGCTTCAAAATATGAATAGTAAGCATGGATCGATTTGAAGTAAAGGGTCAAGACCAAAACTGATTTTTGGAAGCTAAGATACCAATAGCATCATGCTCATGTACAATGTGAATAACCTGAATTGCCTCAATGCCATAGAAACCGTAAAATAATTAGCATAATTAAAAAACATATGCATTTAAATATATCCTGGCATATCCCTCTCAGTTTTGCTATTTCAACAGGACACAGACTCAACCCAATTATTAAAACCATTATCTAATCTGCCCAGAGTTGACGTGCATCCCCAATTAGCGAAAGAAAGGTGGTCATGGTGGTTACAAGCGAGTTTTTGCACGCATTCTGCGTGTACGCAAAGACCATACAAGCTGGAATGAAATAGTTTCGCATACTTAGCATGCTCTGCTTCAAATGCGCATATATAAGCGGGCCTCATGGTGCGCCTATGCGGTGGCTTAAAAAAAAATACACTCTCTTTTGTTCCGCTCGGAGCGGATACTGATGAAAAATAATCTGAGCTGTGCACGTACATGAGACACGTATCCGTCATTATGACCAGGTAGGAAAACTATTTTATCGCGTATACTGTATATACTTTAAAGACCATATGGATTTTGGATTTGGAAGGACAACAGTGCAGTAGACTGGAGATACAATTTCATTCAAAATGCAAAGCAGTTAAGACTCCAGGGTAATGAATACTTTGGGAGGATGTCATTATAGCTGTGCTGAACATTACAGTGATTGTCAAAGACTCCAATATTTATTTTCAAAGGTGAAAATTAAACAAATTAAGCGGGGCGAACTCTACTTGTTTTGTAATGGAACTGCTTTACGCTAGTATATTTCAATGCACTACAAGTGAACTTGGAGGCAGTTGAATGCACGGTAGGCGCCCAACAATTCCCACCGATGACAGCAAAAAAAAGAAGACTTTTCCTTCCACTATTTCTTTTAACACTGTTTGCAGTGTCTCCAGACTTCTTGGGGAAGACCATCACACTAACGGGTACATTTTGTTTCTGCTTTTGTGTTAATTTGGTATGACTGACTGTTGGCATATTCAACCAAATGGAAGGTTGTATATTATTCAATTGAATGGAAGGTGGAATAGCCAATTTTCCAACTTGACTCGGCTTTGAAATATTATGCAGACTGTCATTAAAAATAAGTGATCACCATCATTGATGAGAATGCCGTCATTAAAAAGGTACGTCCATAATGTGAGTCTCTGGAAGCAGCATTTTATGGCGCAGGTAAATACCAGCAAAAATATTACTCACTGGAGTCATCTGTACTGTGATATTCCTATCAAAAATTTTAAAAGGCCTTCCTTTTCATAAATCATTTCTTAATAAAAGATCAGACAATATCAATATAATAATTGATATAATTAATATAATATAAAGGAACATACTCGTACATTTATCTGTAGTAACTTGGAGGGCACAGCAAAAGGAATCTGCTAGAAATCATTATTCTGCTGTCAAACCTTCTACTACTGAAGGAAGTGTATTGTTGTACGTACAGTGTGGACGAGGCTATTTTATTATAAATGTCCAAGTTACCGTGGCAACACCACCACAACAAAAAAAAGCCCAACAAAATGACGCATATCGACTCACAAAATAATTCACTGGACAATGCAATGACATTAGACATAAAATGAAAAATGGCACTCCAAACTTCCTGCCATTTAAACTGAAAAAAAAAACCCCTTGCTCACATCAAAGAACGGAGCGTATGGCCTTTCAAATTAATATTAGTGTCTCTGGCACGCATAATTCATCTTTATTGAGCACTGCGGTCGCAGTCATGTAATTCAGCTTCATTATAAATTCATAAATTTCGCATTTTCTGATAAATAAATTAGTATGGTTTCCTGCCAGAGAGAAGAGGCAGAGAAGTGATGAATTTGAAATAGTAGCGGCATTTTGTGTTGTCAGCTACTTTCAAAACAAACAGTTAAGGTTTGTCCGACCTAAAGAGGTCACAATGGGTGATGTCCAAATGTTATCTCGATTTAAACCATGGCGACGGATTACAAGGATCCATTTATAGCTACAGGGAAAGGAGGAACAGTCATCAAACACATAAACACCCCAACAACCCAACAACCAACCAAACAAACAAACAACCCAACAGCCCGACAGACAAACAAATGAACACCACAACAAACAAACAAACAACCCACCCAACAAACAAACAAACAAACAACCAACCAACCCAACAAACAAACACACCAACAAACCCAAACTCTTGATTGTGTTTTCGGAGTATCAACTACAATGTAATGCAGGTCGTAAAGAGAATTCCTTAGAAGCGTGCAAGTTCCTCCCCATTTCAGGGCTGGGGGTCACTTACCCTAGGATATGGCATGCCGGTGGAAGTATTGAATGCTGGAAGCAGTCTGTAGCCGATGTCTCTAGCCATCTCCAGGAGCTCGTCCCGATACCACTGCATTCCTTTACCCCTGTCTTGGAGGTCGGAGGCCACAACATGAGCTCCAAGCAAGCCCCTGGGAGGAGAGCCGTCCAAACAAAAGAGCTCATCATGCTGCTGAATTACATAAGCGCGGCTGCGGCTCGATGGAGCATGCATGCCTATGAAGTTGCGAAGGCAATGAGCCCCCGAGCTGGACCATGAGGCTATGAGAGGGTACAATTTTTTTAGCAACAGAGGCTCCTTCGGTCGGGACAGCACTTTGCTGATTCATGAACGACTACGACTACGGTCACGTTGCTACAAACAACGAACGCTCCCGACCAATACGGCTCTTTACAACCGCTGAGGGGGTGCCTCTGCTCGAGGCGGATTGCCTTGATACACCTGGTCTTCGCCTTGATACCAATTGAAATGGTCCTGCAGACAAAATGCTTTTTCAACGCAAGGGCTCTTTTGCGAAGGAAAAATTGCCTTGCCTCTTCCAGAACAAAGTTCCTACCCTGCTGTTTAAATTTTCTTTTCAAATTTGGGAAGAAGATGACTGGTTATATTTTCAAAAAGTGCCTGGGTCCTGCCAGGCTTAAGTATTCAGTTACACAACTCACCCCAGCACCCTGATATTGGTCTCAAAGACAGACACGTCGACGTCATTGTCGAAGGAGACATCACGGATCGTAAGCTCTACTGCCTCCTCAAATTTCTCTTCTAGCCCAAGCACAGCTAAGGTGTCCAAAGCATCGATAAGAGTCAGGGAAAACCTGAAAAAACATTGTGATCATTATTTACAATAACTGATTATTTAGTATTAATATTTGTCCTGTGGCATAATTTTTCTCCTTTTGTCGGACTGTGGAAAATTATACAGTGAAACACAGTTCAGCTTTTGTCCAAGACTTTTGGTTTTATTTCCATTTAACAGTTTTAATTCACACTTGAGAGTCAAGCGATTTTCTACAGCACCAAACTCTTCATGTGGCATACATTTCCCAACATTGCTAAATCTAAATTCGAAGGGAAAAACATTCTCAATACAAGTAAACTCTCAATTTCAGAACAAAAAAAAACACTTTGAAAATGTCCTTTTGGCTTGAAAGAATAGAAACTTTCACAGTACCTTTTTATCAATATTTTGAGACAGTCTTCTGGGGGAAAAAATTCTGGCATTCCCTGATTATGGATTACTGAATAATAGCTGCGAAAAGTTTACAAATAAAAATATGAGCGGCAAATACTCGCTAGATCTGCTTAACATCTCCACGGTTAGCTTTCTAAGCTTACCCTCCTAGGGCGTCATCAACATCCCCCCTGCTCGGCTCCACCCCCCGGACCCTTCCTTTGCAACTCAAGGGCATCAATTCGTCGGCTGGGTAGGCAAATGTCTGTTGAATTTCAAGGGGGACATATTTAGTTTTAATATTAACATACACGTCTCTTTTTTTTTGTCTTGTGTTGTGGCATGGTGTAACTTGCCTTTGTTTGGTGTTATGCAATTTTTATATGTGTGTGGTTTGTTTTGGAAGCTGAGTTTGGGTTACGCAGGGGTGAGATTGACCAACGGTAAAAATAGCTGCAAAATGGCTTGAAGAAGCTGAACTGTGAAAATCTCCTATACTTTTGTACACAGCCTGTGAGGAAAAAAAGCTGAAATCCAAAACAAAAAGAACTGAAATCAGCTGAAAAGCTGAGAAATCTCATCCCTGGTTATGTGTCCAGTATTTTGGTTTTAAAAATTCAGTTTCTGAAAGAAAGTCTGTTAAATGTATAATAATACTTCGTCACGGATTTTTTTTTCTGCAAGAACATAAAGGTTCCCTTAAGTAATGCCACTTGCTAATCACTCACCATGTACGAACCAAACGCGTGGTTAAACATTTCCAAGACTTCCACCCTGTTGAAGAGTACACAAGGAAAGAAATTGCTTTAATTCTTGATTTGAAAATGCTGACATACTGTGGAGAGGTGAACAAAAGTCTGCTGATGAAAACTGAAAGCTTCGGCAGAATTTACAAGTTCCATCTAGTCTGCTGAGAAACATGTCAAAATCAGGCCATCTAAAATTCATTTTTAGATTCCTATCACCGCCCATTCAGATTCCTATCACCGCCCACCCCGATTTTCACGTCCATCCAAATGCTTATTGCATTTCATTCTTAAACATGTAACTGGTTTTTCTCCAAGAACATGCATTTTCCTGACAAACGTCTCATCAAATCAACAGGCGCCGTCGCACTGACTTCACAACAAAAGGGACATAACCTCAGGCTTGGTGAAACATTTTGCGCGCAGAACTTGAAACTAGCTACTGATGTGTGATACATGCCGTAGTGCACTATAGACGTTGTGGCACCAGACTCATTATGACAAGGCCATATGTCAATGTATAGTCAGGAACCACGACAAGCTGATGTGGCATTGATATGACAACGCTCAAGGCACCAAATAGTACCATTTATCAGACGTCCTGGCCCTCAATTCACTTGGGATGTGGAGAAGATGAATTTATAAAAATAGAAAGAAATCCCCATTTAGACCAATTTTGTTCTGCTAAAATTAACTTTAAATGGCCTTCTGTAAATGATACATGTACAGGCAGGTAGATTCATTGATCATGTTGATTGTGCCAACATTAACTGATTAACAACAACAGCATGATGCATCCCATCACCAACAATTCTGGCCACACCCATCAGATCTAAAACAGAAAAAGCAAATGTAGGTTAACTCCAAAGTGAGGTCTCACGTTTGATTCCATCTTATCCATGGGACATCATCAGTTTTTTTGGAGTCAGGACAGTGACACTTGGAAATTGGAGGATGTTTCTTACCTCCACGGTCAAACAAGTATTCATAAATACCTTTGACAGTCTCCCTATTCAACAACGTGTAACTTGAAAGTGTTTTAAGATTTGATAATGAACACTGAGAAGTGATAATGCTCGCTGCATAAATTGCACGCTGGCACCTGGATACTAGACAGTTTAATCGATTCTGATTGGTCAAGAGTCTGTGAGCACGAGGCTTGCTATGTACACGCAAATTGGATAATTTGCACAAAGAATATTCCATAAAATGGACAGAGGTGTTTGGGAAAATGAAAGTAAAATTCTAGAGCAAAATCCTTAGAAATCTGTCATATATTGACTTCTTTTGACTCTCTGACTAAAAGGTATTCACGGATGGGAATAAATATGTGCTTGGGCAGTCTTAAACTAACATATAAGACTGGCCAGGAGACTGAACACTGATATTGCCCTTGCCTGCGGCTTGGGCACCAGTTGCATCCATTCTGCTGAGTCGGTCTTACATGTAGTTACATGTTTAAGACTACCCAAGTACACATTTTCCCTTAGTAAGACTTTACTAACATTAGTCATATTAGTGGCACTATTCCTGATATGCTTTTTTTTATCTTTGTGACCGTCGTTTTTGACCTTGATTGATACCAAAGTGGTGCTTGTATGATGAATGAAAAAGTGATTTGTGGAATCTACGGACCTTAATTGACTTTAAACCTTTGCGTCAGCAGTAAAACTTTTGCCAAAGATATTTATTTGACCCACAAAATGACCAAGTGACGTTCACAGAAATCCCAATTTCAGACAAAGACTGAAATATCCTTAAATGTGCCTTGATTTTGTTTTTTCATCTTACCAGTGGTACATGTCTACGTTGGATTAGATTTGCAAGAAAACTGCAACGTGAGGTGGTTATTACTCATTACCTTGCACATTATCATTATCAGTTCAAATCCACCGTTACAGTATGGGAGAAAGGGGTGCTGAGAGCTTCCCCGGCATGCCCGGGGTTGGGAGAAATTCTGGTTCACTCCCCTTCCCACAAATTCCAGTCCCACACTGTATACGAGATACAGATATTTGAAATTGTATGTTATTTCTCAATTCGTATCTTATAAAGTGTCTCAACCATGTCAAAGAAAGGTCACAAATATTTTAACTATTATTATTACGAAATGCACATACTTTGGTGCACATAGGCCTAGGTATTTGATCATAAATTTTGTTTTGGTCGCCTTATCATGCTTACAGTTATAGAGGTGGGAGACCTATCATTTGAATGTAAACTTACACTTTTACAGGCTCCTCTAAGAAGACATTATCATGATTATTATAAAAATAATTGGAACACTGTGAAATTTCCATGAATCTAGCAACGCCCAATTGCAGAAGGCCCTGTCATTCAATTTTATAATTTGGACTTCACAATGACAATGAACATGATGAAAGTACTGGCATGACTGGACCATAGGAAGATCTGACCCAGTCACGTCACGCCGGTAAACATCCAATAGTCACAATGACCACGGTATCGCGGTATTGCCTACCGAGAAAAGGCAAGGACTTTAGCATTGCACAGGCCAATGGCGAACTTAGCCTAAGCTAAAACACTTCGAACAAAAAAATTGGGAATCTTACTTGAGTGCCGATTTGTTGACGGTCGTTTTCCCGGCTGTGAAGACAAAATCAGAAAACAGTGGAAGCATCCAGAGGAGTTGGCACTGTAAGGCTTTCCCTGGCCCCATCTCTGCCCCCTCCCCTTCGTCAAAGTAAGCAAAAACTGTCGGAAATTTGTCCCACGATTTAGGTCATCGTGACACGTCGACGAGATGACTGCAACAGTGTAAATCGATCGCGTGGTACATGTCCTGTAATATAATGTACGCAGTCAGTACCAAAGATTGTACCGGCGAATGAGGGCGCTGTTTGACTTCACACGGGAGTAGTCTCGTCGCCTCGTGTCGATCACCTGCAAACGCAGCTGGGGAGGAGATTCAGAGGTTGGTGGGAAAGGAGCAAAGAAACATGGACATGAAGGGTTAAAACAACTGTAACAATGGGTTTTTTTTATCCCACCGGTAATTTTGAATAAGAGGCCTATAACTGGGACTGACTGTAGAAACATTTCCAGAAGCAAACATCAACTCGGAATATTTCGTTCAAAAAGTAGATCTGCATGTAAGGGCCTACATTGTGTATTTGGTATAGAGGCCAAATTGTCAATCATTTGGGGGACGTTTTGGGGTATATAAAAGGTAATGTGGGCCCATACCCCCATCTAAGAGGCTGTAATCTGTACTTACCACTGAAAATACTTTACTCCCTAAATGGTGGCACAAAGTCGGATTTCCAGCACCTTTAACTAACTTTAGTAAAACTTTAATAGAGTAACTTAGTAGAGCTAACTTTAAGAAAACATGAAGCTCGATTGATGATTTTTTTTTCAGATTAAATGTGAGCTCAGGGTGCATATTCCTTCCAAAATATGGAATAAACGACAAAAATTTCTCAAAACTGTCTGGTTGTTTTGCTTCCAAATATGAGTTCATGTTATGATCATTAGCAGAACAAGATTCCATGCCTTTTTTATCATCTGTGATATTATTTTCTACAGCTAGCTGTTGGGTTAAAAAAACACACCCGCCAACAATATCTTTACATACCGGCTTCACTGAATAGGTGCTACACTGAATAGGCCTTACACTGGAGAAAAATTGAAACCGAAACAACCAAGAACTATAAGCTCGGTGATTAAAATCCAATCAATAGCAACTTTTGTAATGAATCAGGTCCCATAGAAATCCGACAACAAACAGCTTGAAGTCCATCACCACGCATTTAACCCCCACATTCAGTCATTTTTCCCAGAAATCCTCAGGCTCTCGAATAAGTTACCTCCAGCTTCAGTAGACAAAACCAGCCCAACAAGTTTTAATACCCCTATCCAGCACAAGCTTTATACCCCTTCCTCCATGCTCTCTTCAACTTCCAGTACAGTGGCGTAGCCACCGGGGGGGCACGCCCCCCCCTTCCCAGTGATCCCAGGTATCCCCCGCCCACTAAAAAACGGATGAATTGATATTGAACAAGCCTATCATAAACTTGCCCCACCCCCCCCCAAAAGAAACACACCCTTAAGTTAAAAGATGGTGCCCCCCCGTACGATGCTGGTTCCCCCTCCCCCCTCCCCCGGTAATATCTGCGCCACTGTTCCAGTATAGTCCCTGGAGGCCCGTTCGGAGGTTACGACAAGGCACAAGTTACGAGGTCATCCATCCATCTATCCAACCATAGAGAATAATTAAGAAAAAACGACATACCATTCCATACGAATTATCGATTTACAATACACCCCTGACGTCATCATCTCTGACGTCATCATGAACAAAATTGCCTCTACACCATTGATCCCTGTGTTCCAAAACAAGGCCAAGGTCAACGAACTCACTTCCGTGCGATCCGCAATTGTAAATAGTCTGGTTCCATCGAGTCTATTTCTGCGCCTCGTAATTGGCTGTAGACGTTAGGGAGTAATGCTGGGCCGAGTCACATAAACATGATGAGCAATGGCTGACGGCGCGATGGAGGTAATATACAAGGTGGGTATTTTATTTCGTTTTTTTTCGTTGTCTTGGAGTGGTATTTAGCAGTAGAAAGTACATAAATAGTTAGTTAGAGCACTAAATATTTATACTACGTTGTCAAATTTGAATTACATATGATTTTGAAGTGTTAAATATGACGGTTTTTGACAGTTCACTGGCACAGTGGCAGTCAGCTAGAGTGTACACTTCCTGTACCACATGTGTTTACTGTACGCTCAGAGCTCCTACTTCGAGAACTGTTAAAGGTTTATACAAACCTTGCAAATAGCTAAGTACAAACTCTCATAAACACATTTTGGCTGTTTTGGTTGTGCCAAATTACTTTTCCATCACAGCTATTTGTGCAGCCAAAGTTCATACGTGCCTTCTAAGTTCTTGGCACTTTTTGGGGAAGTTAGATGCGAAACAGGTCAATTCGTACCTTGGACAACTCGTACTTTGGACCATTCGTACCTTGGACAACTCGCACCTTGGCCAACTCGCACCTCCAGTATAGACTACTCGTACCTTCATGTACGAGACAACTTGTACCTTGGACACAAGTACATGTACATTGGGTAGAGCTTACTGTTGTTGCAGTCATCATGAGCAATAGTTTGATGGAGTGATGTTATCTTTTCATGTACAGTGTACTTCTGAGTTCATAAAGTAATGTCAGCTGTAACTTGTACTTTTTATAAAGTGATGTCCGAAAGTTGAACGGATGTAAAGCTGCGTTTACATTTGGGATAATAAAGTACAAGTTGAACCATTAAATATCACCCCCCCAAAAAAAAAATCAGGCAATCACACACCAAAAAAATAAAGAAAACTTCTTTTATTAGAAGTTTAAACATTAGATACCACCACCCCCCCAAATAAAACTCAGGCAATCACATCCCCAAAAATTAAAGAAATGAAATCAAGATTTTTGACTTAAGGTTATAAATTTGTTCACAGAAAAGATTGACCTACACTGCAATTAAATAAAGAAAGCTCACCCATTAAACTAGTAAACATTTATCAGTAAGTACAGACTGGCTCCCCCAAAAAAGAATTAGATGTTTTCCACAAGAAGTTGGATCATTAAGGTTTAAACTATGGCAATCATGTACACCCCTAAAATATAACAGAAATCAAGATTTTGAAATTAAAGTTGTAAACATCAGCGAACAGAAATTCTCATTGCCAGCTAGTGGTTTATGTAGTTAATTCCGGCTCACAGACTCCAGAAAATTTAATGTTGATCTAAGTGTGTCGATCCAAACCTACTAAAAAAAAAAAACAATTTAAATCTTTACAATAAAGACCCAAACTCCAACATTGGACTCAAAACTAGAGTCTCCCACGCCTACGGGGCCGCGTCTCAATGGTCGAGTTGGCCCGAGTCAAGTTGGTAAACTGTCGGGTTGTTTGACGTCCATCACTTTAACCGATGGTGCGCTCATGCCCGTGGAAGGATGATATGCAAAAGAAAATCATGGTGGCGCTCTGTATCTCTCCTGGAGATTTATAAAGACGTTTCCTTGATGTGTTTGTCAAATCTTGTCCTTAAAAATGTGAACAAGGAAAAGTGAGAAAGTTAAGTGAATTGCAAACCTGAAGGTACGATACATCTTAACTCACGGTACAAGTTGTCCAAGGTACGAGTTGACTCAAAAGCGTTAGATGGGGAGGTTTATTCACCTTACACCCACATTAAAATGGTGAAATTCATGAGCATTTTGCCCATCCACACTACAGAAAATCCGCAGCATGTACTCTGTGTGATAGCTTAACCAATCGCAACATAGCTCCTATCTTATACTTTTGTTTTTTTGACCCCCCTAAATGAAAGCTGAGCTGTGATTGGTCATTAGAATGGAAGCAAATTGGTCAAAGCATAGTCCATGACAAAAACTTGTGTTGTGGAAAGGGATTCCCTGAATTTTTCCTTTCTGCCATGCTTTAAATTTCAAAGTTTGTGAATATCTTTATCCTAAATCTATAAAAAAATGAAAAGAGGATGGCTTGAATTGGAATATGTAATAAAATGGAAGCAGATTTTTGCAGGTACACTTCACCCATCGGGTGGTGCATAAAATGGATCGCTTGTTTGTCATCTAAAACTCATAATACATTGCGAACGTCGAAAAGGTTTATTTCCATGTAATCATTGATTTGTGCAAAATTTAGATTGGTCAACATGGTCAGCTGAAGGGCATATTGATGTCTGCCTCTCATTTTAAAACCCTCCTGTGGTTAAACAGTACAATATGCACGAGTGCCCAACAGTCACTCTCTTGCATGTATTTTCTACATGTAACACAAACATGCACAGGTTCAGTGTGTACCCAGTTGGTTGCCAGCACAAAATGACCCAGGGTTTTATGTGCAGTCCTC